TTGAGCTAGGACAGGCAGACAGCATTGCTCTGAGGGTGCAAATCGAGAGTCCGCCAGACCAGACGCCACGGGAGGGACTGACACGGGGCGGACTACGGAAGGAGCTGCGTGGAGTTCCTTGGAGCAGCTCCGCGAGGCCAGCCGAGGGGCCTGCCACAGTGGGACGCAGGAGGCCAGGACTCCGACCCTCCCCTACCGGGGCAGGCGGCGTGCAGTCTGGAGGAAGTGCACGTATTCTAGTTTTACTTGGCTATGGTTCACATATTTTCACTCCACCAGAAATTCAGGCTGGCAGGTTTTGTCCCAGACCTCGCTGGATTCGTGATCACCTCTCACACTCCGCCTGGAGCAGCTGCGATTGAAAGAGGGTCTCTGGGTGGAGAAGGGGGCAAATGACTGCCTTCCACCTGGCATCGCCTGCTTCATGCTTCTGCAAAAGGCATCAGAAAGCAGGCCACGCCCCCTCGGGTGGCCGAGCCCCGCCTGCTTCTGGTAGAGTGCCACTTGGCAGCTCAGAGCAGCAGGCTCCCTGCCTCTCGACTGTCCACGATACCAGACCCAAGGGCGGCAGGAGGGGGGACTGTCAATCCTCTGCAGGAGGGGGCTCCAGATCCAGGTGGGCCCAGGATGCTCAGGCTGGGAGGCTCTAACCAGCTTGGATCTGACTAAGCATCATGTGGAGTGGTAGTCAAGTGGCTTCAGCAGGTTGACCCCCTCACTGCTCGTTCTGTGTCCTTTATCGCCCTGGCCAGCTTTCAGTAGACCACCTGTACGAGTGCACACTCCAGACGCCGCCAGGACCCCTGTGGATGCTGATGCTCAGGGGCAGCAGGCGCCCGTCAGGGCCAGAGTACCCATGCCCTCCACCGGCAGCACAGCCAGCTCACCCAACCCGGAGGGCCAGAGAGGGGAGGTGTGTGTGCACCAGGGCGGCCTGGTCCCACGGCCGCCGAACGCTGCCCTGCAGGCCTTCGGGGTAGTTGATGATAACCCTGTACCTTAGCCTACACACGGTGGGCCCAGTGGACCCTGCGTCCCAGCCTGTCACCGAGGCCGTCCCCACTGCCATGCCGTCTTAAGTTCTCCTGCACAACCTGCCACGTCCTCAACAGTTTCCAGGAGAACAGGTAGTGAAAGTTCCCTTGGCAAGGGAAAAGTGAGTAAAACTCAGGGGAGACATTTAAAAATCCTCGAAACCCTATCAAGGGGACTCAGCCTTTCTTGCCATTGGGAACAAGAGTAAGTAACGGTAAGGACATAGCCTAACAATTTACTTAGCTCGTTCCCAATAATCCAGGGCCTCCTCCCGGAAAGGAGACCTGCCCTTTCTTAGTCACTGAACTCCCGCGGACACCGGTACGTTTACAGCGGACGAAGGAGCGACGGATCGAGGCAATGTTGTCAGCGGCAGTGAGTCTAAACGCAAGGCCCGCGAAGGGCTAGGACGTTTTGGCGGGCTCGCAGCCCCCTCCCCGGTGGAAGGCCCCACTCTTACGTTCCCTCCTGGAGAACAGGCCTCTGGTGGCGGCGGCTTCACGTCTCAGGAGTGGCTGGAAAGCCCATCTGTCCCAGACGCAGAGCAAGGAGAGCCCCCATTGGCTCTCTGCTGGCTAGACTGCGACCAGACAATGCTCTGCGGTGACACAGGGGTTTGTCACAGGTTCCATCATCTCCATGGTAATAAAGCAGGAAGAGTTGCTGCTATGGCGTCTGCTCTGTCTTCCCCTGATTCTGTGTCTGCTCTGAGTGTTATTTTCTTGTTCATGGAAGACACTGAAATTGCACTGTAAGGCTCGAAAGGAATGTTAAATGTTAGGGCCGGAATTAGATAAAAGTAGCCAAAAGGAACCCGAGGCAGGCTCCAGACTGTCTCAGCAAAGAAGATAGAAAGTACAAAAAGTACAAAGAGTGCTGGACAAGATAAACCCCCTTGTGCTTGACCTCGTCCTTGCAGAAACTTATCCATTGTTGCAAGCAGAGAACATAGCCGTGTATGTTCTCTCGGGATAGCCAATTGCTAACAGCTACGTCTGCTTCTGTATTCGCTTGCTTGCTCACCCCAATAAAAACCCCAGGCTGTAAGCACCGGGCGTGACTCTCATCTGCAGCCATTTTGGCACCGTGTCTCCGGAGACGCCCCGAGAGTTCGCCCCTGTGCAGGTAAAACTTTGAAACTTTGGCCAATAAAGTTCCATCTTAAACTGAAAGCTTCCGACATTTGCTCGCATTGGGGTATGTTACATTAAACAGGACGAGTTTCTGAAAACAAGGTGATACTCTGTATTTTCCACTTAGTGTTTTGAAGGTTAAAGGTTTTTCCCGAAGGAACAAGGAGGCACTTCTGAGGACGGAGATGCTGGCCCTCGCGTGTTCCCACCCGGTCTGTGGGAATCTCAGCGACAAAGGGCAGCCACTGTCCAGTGCGTGGGCCTTCTCTGCCTTTTCACCCCCCACCACACTGTGGCTTGGCACTTCAGGCTTCGTGCTGGGCGTGTTGGCTGCCAGGGGCGCGGGGCGCGTTCCTCACTCCCCACTGGAAAGACCAGAGTCACCTTCATCTTCAGTCATTTCGCACGCCCGTGGGCCGACTGGCCAGGTCCTCAAACCTGAGAGCAGTGTCCAGAATGACGGGGCCCAAGGACTGAGCCCATGTGGGGGGCGCTGGGCTGCCCTGCCGGAGGCCTGGGGACCGCAGCTGGAGAGGCACTGTTGGAACTCGGGGGCGCCTGGGGAGCCGGGAGTGACGACACCACGGCCCAGCCACGTGCTGGACCGGAAAACCACGTCGCGTCTGTTCTGCAAAGAGCTCAGGCCTCACGTGTGACAGGCAGACGCGGCCCACGATCCACTGAAGCTGCTGAGGACAGACCGAGCGCTGTGCCTGCCACGAGAGGTGGTCGTGGGTGGCTGTGAGGTCCCCACGGGTGCTCTTCGAGGACTTCATCTCCCCAAGGAGTGGATCCGGCTTGGCGAGGGATTACTCAGGGGACAGCCTTTGCGAGGAGAGGCACCCACCACGTGAATTGTGTTTTGGTAATCTTTTAATTACTTGCTGCCCGCACGTCCCCAGAGAAAACGGAAGAACTGGAGTCACATTTAATGAGCTTGAGAATGATGCCTTTGCTTTTCCTGTTTTTCGTTACTTTACTCCCTTCCTGAAGAATGCCAGCCAGGCTGACCCGGTGTCCTTCCCGCTCTAGCCACCTTGCAGGGAGCCACCCCGCATCCCTGTTCATGAGTCCCCACCAGTCCACTTCTGCTCAGAGAAAGGGGACCTGAGCTCTGGAGTAAGGGGCGCAGGACCCCTGCAGCCTGTCTGGCTCCCACCAGCAGATAAACGGGATAACAAAGACCCCCACACAGTCTGAGATGCCCAGGGCCTCACCCCTGCCCCTTCTGTCGTCCTTTCAGCCCAGAAGCCCTGTGCTTAACTTGACCTGCTGGTAAACGCACCCTGGTTGGAGCTCCGGCTTCTCAGCAAGGCCTTCCCACCCCCAGGCCAACCCCAGTGCCCAGGCTGGTACCAGGTAATCCCACCACCCAGAAAGGCGGGAGGAGGCCGTGCAGGGGTCCCTAGGCAGGTTCTGCTGTGTGCCCTGGTCCCGGGATCCAGCCCCATGCAGACTGCCATGTTTGCTTCCACTGCAGGGAGCCCCGAGCCTCCTGGCAGGAATGTTTAGCAAAGTGCCTCCGGAGGTGCTCAGAAAAATATGAGCCAAAGACAAACCGAGATGTAATGCCATCTACACATGCACGGATTTAAACTGCGCAGCACAACAACGCCGCTTGTCTAGGAATCGCCACCAAACGACCAAGGTGAACACGATCAGCCCCCAGAGGAGGAGCATGCTGTGCAGGGGACCGGAGCGGGGTGGGGGGCAGGCTCCTTGGGTTCACAAATCAGCTCTCCCACACCTCATCAGGGTGGCTGTGGATGGTGACTCATGTCCCTCATCTATAGAGCGGGACGTCACTAGCCCATGCTTGCAGTGACGGCACGAGAATGACACCAGTTCACGCGTGTAGAGGCCAAGGAGCTGGCCTGGCTCTTGGAGAGGGTTTCCCTGGGCCTGCTGCCGCTCTGTCACTTACGACGAGGGCCCTTGGTCCTGGAAAGCCTTCCTGCCATTTGCTCCAGTGACGTCATTCCCAAGAGTTTATCCTAGTAAGCGGGCGAGGACCGACAAGTGTGGCTGTTCGCCACACGGGAAGGTGCACAGGGGGGACGACCCAAGCACCCAGCTCCGGGGGGACAGACAGACACATCTTGGTAAAGACAGCTGTGATTTAGTGACGCCGTTACTTTTGGATGTTTCACGTGTGGGCAGGGACATGGCACCTGTGTGTCCGTCCTCAGCACTGAATGGGGGTCAAAGACATCTGCTGGTTAAACCTACATGGTAATGATTTCTAATGATGTTGGCCCGCTTATGTTTAGAAATCAAGAAGCAAGCTAAGAATATATGGCTTGTGCAGCTGGAGGAGCAAGAGGTCCTGGTAAGGAACAGAGCCCTATGGTTAGCTGCCCTCCCTCCTCCAGGAAGCCCTCCCTGACCAAACCCCAGGGACCTGCTGGGTACACGGCTGTTTGAGCCCACCGTCTCCACATTCCGACCCACGACTGGCTGATCCTGGCCCAGGGCCCAGCACGCCGTGGGCCCTCCACAGATGCCTCCCGAGTGGGCCCCAATTCCTTCCCTGCCACCCACGGCCTAGCACATGGGGGCCTCGCTCCTCTGGACACCAGGTCATCTTCGGGACCTGAGGGCCTGGCATCCAAAACAGCTGGACCACAGTAAACCCTTAAATGTCTCTGAGAATAAAATGGTGACTTTCCAATGAAGCAAAAAATACACATTCACCTTCTCATGCTCTCTGCAGAATCTATACCAATTTTTCATTCAGAATGAGCTAATTACATGAGGTGATCGCCAATTTATCTGACATGGTTTTATCGATTATGCATTTTGCAAAAAACGAATGTTAGCCCACATCCTTACCTCTTCAAGAAAACAGCTGAAGTTCTGGAGAAAATACTTCCAATTTATGGAGGGGGTTAGATGAAGTCTTAGCTTTCTCAGGAAGTAATGGTACTGGGTCTCGGTGAGTTTGTAACAGAAGTCCTTAAGAACCTGTCCAAAATCCGAAGGCTTCACAAACCCAGTGTCCTCTTTGTCCAAGGCAGAAAACGCCTGCAAAAAGAAAGGCAGACGCTCCTGTCACGCCAAGATTTCAGAGAGTATTTTCAAGTACCGCTTCTGTGGAATGCAAATGAAAGTGAGCACATGCAAGTCCCCTGCGAACTCTAAATCACCGAGTAAATGCACCTGAGAACGTGCGACGGGCATGCGTGTGCGCAGCGTAAGCACTTGAGTGTGATGGGGAGATGAGCTTCCTTCACGCCCCTCTGGATCCCGCTGGGAGGGGCCTGAGGAGAACCTGGCCCCGCCCCCGCCCTGCTCCCTCAACCATTTAGTCACAGCCCCTCTGAGCCCAGACCACCCGTACAGGAGGCTCGGACCACCCGCCCCATCATATGCCAGCCTGCAGTTCGGGAGCTGGGCTGCCGTCCTTTCCAACCCGAGGGCCCTCGCCCCGTGGGAGGACCCCTCGTGGGAGGACCCCCACGGCCCTGGGACTGTGCCGGAGGGGCCAGGCAGGCAGCGCCAACCCAACAGCACAGCAGTCAAACTGAAAAAGTGCAAAAATGTGCTGTAAAAAGAGCCCATTTTTTCCCATCTGCTGAAACAAAATCATTCATTTTTATTGCACTAGGAAATCTGTATCAAGTGGTAGGTTAAGCCCTTTTCTTAAAAGTAAGACTGGAATGTGCTCCCAGACCCCACAGCGAATGCCTTGCGGCGAACCCTCCTGCAGAGCTGATTAGGCGGCCCCACCAGCCCACAGGCGGTGATGTGTGTTCTCCAATTGACCTTCAAGTGCCCTAGAGCCTCACTTCTGCATTTAGACCAAGGCAAGAGGAGGCAGCCGTGCGACCTTTAAACCTCGGCCACAGGTGAGGGAGCGGACTCTAAATCAGGGCTCTGTTGCTCACCACAAGCCCTTGACCTCTTTGAGCTTGGCTTCTTCAACGTAAAAGGGAGGACTTCGTCATCCGGCCCTCTAACTTTTACCATGGCAACCTGCCCAGGGGCCTGGCGCGCAGTGGGACTCCACAGCTGCAAAGGAGAATGATCACAGCATGGGCCACCCGATGGGGCATCCGTGCTCCGAGGGCATCGGAAGGCTTTGCGGGTGTGAAACAAGCACCATGAGCTCCAAGGGACGGAGGAGGCAAACTCAGGGCCTGCGCTTCCCTGGCCTGTGGGACTCCCCATGGGCCAACCGGGCTGCCCAGGCCCAGGGTGGGCAAGACAGTCAAAGGCAGACAGACGAGGGGTTGCCGTCCTTTCAGAAACAAGGCGCACTGAGACCCGTCTGCCAGGACAGGTAGAAACGCACGCGTGCATCCTGAATGCCCTCGACTGCCACCGGACGCCCCCCTCGCCCCTCCCCAGGGCCTCCTGTGCCCTCCCGCCCCGCTGCAGCCCCCCTGCCACTCTCTTGGCCTGGGGATACCCCTCTAGCTTCAAACCTCATCACCCAGGGAGTGTTTCTCAGAAGGGAGAGCCGTGGTCTCTCCCAAAGGTTCTTGGGCAGAGAAACATCCTGAGGGCTGCTCTGTGGGCGAAGCCTCCCTGACAACGGCGCCATGTGGCCCGCATGGCGCTGCTGGACATCTGCAGGGCGGGCTGACACTTCGGCATTGGAAGGCTTCACAGCTTCCCAGGAAAGGGCAAAGACCGAGCCAGGCTGGCACACTTTCAGCTCAGCAGGGGTCGGCCCGCGGGGCCGTGTCTCTGGCCTGGCGGGGCCTGGCCCGTGCACAGTTTGCAGACCCTGAGGCCCAGAAGTCCCGAGCAGGAGCTCTGGTGCTGAAAGCTGGATGAGTGGGTTTTCTAGATGGCCCATGGCACATTCAATCTGATTTGTCTTTAGACCATCAGCAAAATAAAGACGAAATGTCGAGTCCTCGTGAGAATTCCTAGATGTAGAAATTCTGCTCAAAGACAAAGGCTGCCCTGCCCCCTCCCCCTCTGCCTGCCCGCTGGTCCCTCCGGAGGCTGGGACTCCAGAGCTTTGCCTCCCTGTACGGAGGCTGGTTCCCTGTGGGGATGGAACCAGCATGCCTAGGCTTCCGGGTGGGGACCTGGCGGGCACTGGCAGATGGGGCACAGCCCACTGTGACTGGCCGCTGGCTGGTGAGCACCAGCATCACAGGAAACTTATGCTCCCGCCTCGGCTGCAAGGTCAGCCCTCTGCAGACAGCACCTTCTCTTTCCATGGCTGCTGCAAAGGGAACTCACGTGTCCTCACCAGGAACATGGCCAAAGCCCCGCTTCCTGAGGACGCTGGCACAGGCCACAGCATTGTCCCCACACAGTCCGGGTCTCGGCACGCTCTACAGTGTTACCCAGTTGTCAGCCTAAAATGTCTGTGTACTCAAGGAGGCCCTCCTTACGCCAGCCCGTGGCCCGGGGCAGTTCCTCCAGGGGGGGAGTCTCTGTGCCGCATCAAGCCCCACTCATCCCCACGGGCCCAGGACCTGAGGATGTGCTGCGCCCGTTCTCCCTGAGGGTGCCTGTCCACTCTCCTCTACCCGGAACTCCTGCTGTCACCCCAGACCAGCATTTGCCAAACACTGAGCACTTTCGCTTCCCAGAACACACGCTGGGGTCCAACCATGGAAGCTTCTCATAGAGTGAAACGGACACACGTTTGCTCTAAGGAACAGTGGGGTCTGGAGCAACCCCTCTGGTTCTGACACCCCAAGGGGGTGCAGAGAGGAGAAGGGGCCCTGGTGCAGGGGAGGGTGGACCCGAGTACCAGAGCCCAGTCTCCCTGGGAAAAGCACTTGTCTGCCGTACCGCGTACAGAGCTGGGCCGGAGGCGGCGACAACTTTCTGGACGTTCTTTAGGACCTCCTCTGGACGCAGTCTCTCGAAACTGACCGGCACGTCTGCCGCTGTTTCTTCCGACTCGGGTCTGGGGGGCTTGCTATTCTCCACGGCTCTCAAGAAGTCAAGGTGATTGATGCAGTTATTTTGCCGGCTGATTCCCCAACTTGTCCCCAAAGGAAAAAAAAGGAATATATTAAAAAAACTCATCACCCACTCCTTCAACAAATACTCGCTCAGCACAGAGCGGGGTGGGGAGGGTGACCAATGGGAAGATGTCGCGCCCCGGCCTGTGGGCAGGTGCCCGCAGCAGCTGCGGGGGCAGGGAGCAGGTGCAGGGTCCTGAGCGCTGAGAAGGCAGGGTGCTGCCGGCTGGTGAGGCTGCACATTGTCACGGCTGAAGCTCTGAGACCTGGGGCCGCCCCACTGGACCCCCGGGTGGAGAGCAGAGGACGGGAAGGAGCTGGAGGTGGTCCGTTTGGGGGACGTGACCCTGGCAGAGCCGTATGACCAGGTGGACTGGGGCAGGACTGTGGAGGGGAGGGGACAGGGGCTGTGCTCCGGGACCTGAGCTGACGAGGGCCCGCCCTGAGGAACAGCAGGGGAACCTGAACAGAAACGTGTCTGAGAAGGCAGGAAGGAAGGAGGAACTGAGTGAGCACAACATCGTTTTCTCAAGAACGGCGGACACTGAATGGTCACACCCCCCCAAACCTCACTTTGGCAGGGTGGGGTGCATTGGAGGAGAAGGGCCGGGAACGCCCACGAGCGGGGGAGAGGAGTGCCTGGCGACCGGCCGTCTGCTCCTACAGAACGTGAGGGCGCTGCACGTCCCCGCCCACAGCTGCGCGGCCGCCTCCCCGGTTGCGAGGCTGGCTCTGACCAAGACGGGACTCGGAGGGAAGGGTAATCAGCTCTATTTCATCAGCAGGATAAACTGCCAACGTGGTATTAAAATTTAGTGGTAAAATCAAATGCATATGCTAATCTCCTCAGTGTTATTTAGAAAAGTCTATTTTGGATCTAGAAAAGAATAATCTACATGTAATTACGAGTGACAGAGATGTTTGTCATCGGGGGTCTTCGAGAGGAAACGTGCGCCCGGGCAGTGGGTCCTCACTGAGGCTGCAACGTGTAAGGCGTTGCTTGCCCCAGTGAAAGGTGGGCGACGAGAACTCCAGGGTCCTTCTGCTGTGGTTGATAAAAGTGCCAAGACTGACTATGTTTCAAAAGACTCTCTTATGATCATTTAGTCAATTATTTATCTGGTGCTGTTTTTCCATGATTTATTCATCGAATGCATATAAGTTCTTGTTCAGCTGGAAACAGATTCAGTGACAGGAGATGCTGTTTAAGGAAGAAGAGAACATGGGCGTTTGAAGACGGAACGGAAACACACACACACACACACACACACACACACACACGGGATTTCTCACTGCTTGAACACAGAAGTCTTCAAAATTTTAGAGGAAAATAATTTCCTCCCTCAGATGCTGTCCTCAGACAAACTATCAATTGGTACAAAAAAGAATAAAACATTTCCAGACAAACGAGAACTCAGAACATTCACTTCCTCTCCACCCTTTCTCAGGAAACATTCCAGGAAGCACGCCAGCAAAGTAAGAAGGTAAATGAGGAGATAGAAAGGTGTGGGAGGGTGGGAATGGGGGAACCCGACCCAGGAGGACGTTGGGGCTGCTGAGGGTGCTCTCGGGCAGCAGACCCAGGACAGGGGAACGGGGCCAGGCTCCAGGCTGGAGGCCACCAGCGAAGGGACCCAAGAGACCAGGAGGAGGGACAAAACACTGGGGACAGCCGAGGTGGACAACGCCGAGCTGCACCCTGTGCTCCTGGAAACCTAGAGAAGTCACCCTCCCTCTGTGTCCCTGGAAATGGCTTACAGAGCAGAGCCACTGTCCCCTCAGGACTTAGAAAAGACCCACAGGTTTGCCTGTGACAAGGTGCACCCCCCCCATTCCTGTTCTCATAAACAGTTAGCTGAACTTTTCGTGTTTGCTGACCCATCCGGACAAAATGCCTGCTAACTTTGACTTGACGTGACCCAACTTCAACAAGTCTCTGCTTCCCTGGACTGTGACCCACCCTCAGCCTGAGCCGTCGCTGGACTGTAGACGAGCCCCTCTGTAAGGGCCCTGCCTGAGACTCCGACCACAAGGAAAGCCACTTCCTGCCACAACAGTCTGACCACACGACCCACTCTTTGCATCCCCCCATTCCCAGCTCTTCCCTTCCTTTCCCTGGAAAAGCCCTTGGCTGCCTGCACTTTGAGACGCTCTCAGACTGCACGGTCAGAGCGCCCTCCCACTGCAATGGCCTCCCCTCCCCTCCCCCAGCAGCCCTCCCTCCCCACCCCAGCAGCCTTTTCAAATAACGGCTCTCTCTATGAAGTCTGGGTTTGCCTGTATTCGACAAGGTAAGTTACAGGCAAATAATGCAAGAAAAACAAAAAGGAAATTCAACACTCCTGGAAACACACAGCCTACCAAGTAAAATCATAGCGTTCACACAAAGCAAACTTAGTCACAATGGGTTACAGTGGAAAGAGCTGCAAGGACTCCACTCACAGAGGAGGTCCTGGGGACACCCCAGGACAGACGGACGAAACCGAGGGTGCGGGAGACAGGGCAGCTGCAGCAGGATTAAACACGGCCCACCTCCACCCAAACCGACACAGGGCCTCACCCAAAACGCAGGACCACCAGATTCAGGCGTGACACACATTGTGAAACCACCAGACAGGGAATTTAAATGAGCTGTGATTGACATGTGAAGCACTCTGATGGAAAGTGCAGACGGCAGGCAGGAACACGTGCGTGATGTAGGCAGAGCGCGCCAGCGCAGGGAAAGCAGCAAAAGGAAGCGCTGGCGATAAAGCGCTGTCACGGGAACGAAGAGGCCTCTGACAGGCTCCTCGGCAGACGGGACACGGCCGGGGGAAATCACTGAGTGTGAAGGGTGTCAAGAAAAACTCCCCAGACTGAAATTCAGACAGAAAAAATTTTAAAAAGAACAGAATTTCTAAAAACTGTTGGGCAATTTCAAAAAGCATTACCTCTTGGTGCTTAGAGAACACCAAGAAGGATGAACACTGAGAACTCCACACCTAGGTGTACTGTAGTCAAACTGGAAAGAACTGAAGACAGAGAGAAAACCTGGAAAGAAGCCAGAGGGAGGGAAAACCTTACCTACGGAGGAACAGAGGTAAGAACCACACAGTACTTACCGGAAATCATGCAAGCAAAAGGAGTGGACTGAAATATTTAACGTGCTGGGAGAAACAAGTCACCAACCTAGAATCCTACACCCAGTGAAATTATCCTTAGAAGTGAAGGAGAAACAGACTCTCTCAGAAACATAAAACCTGCAGGAATCCACCACCGGTGGCCCTGGCCTGGAACCACAGGCCCTGGCCCGGTAGCTGAGTTGCTTACAGCATCATCCCAATACACCAAGGCTGCGGGTTTGATCCCCAGTTGGGGCACTTACAAGGAGCAACAAATGAGTGCATGAACACATGTAACAACAAATTGATATCTATCTTTCTCTCTCCCCCCCAGAAAGGAAATGCTGACAGACGTTTCAGAAAGAGGAAAAGTCACGTGGGTCAGACACTCAGATCCACATAAAGGGAGGCAGAGCCTCAGAGGAGGAATGAACGAAGGCGAGGTGACCCCTTCTGCTTTCCAACTCCCAGCTGATCCAACAGTTCCACGTTCACAGTAACGACAACCCTGTCTGGGGGCTGCAGCCTGTGGGTGGGTGCGGTGAACGGCCGCAGGGCCCGCGGGACAGGGGGCAGGATGTGGGGCGCTCCGCCCAAGGCAGCCTCGCTGCCCGGAGGTAGCGTCCTGTCCTTCGAAACTGGACTCTGGCCACTCGTCCACGTACATTACAAACTTGAGAGCAACCATGAAAAGAGAAATATTTAACAAGTGGGGTGAGTTAGGCCTTCCATCACTGATGACAATCACATGGGAACTAAACAAACAGAAGAAATAAGATTAGTATTAACTCCAGGGAAAACAAAATGCTACATAAAAAAGGAAAGTGACTGGCTAGTCCCGGCACTACAAGCCCGGGACAGTGACCCGCCCACCCGGCAGTGTGGAAGGGCGGCGTCCACGGAGACGGGTCTGCGTGTGTTTCTCTGTGGCGGTGGAGGCTGCGGTGTGTGAAAAGGAGTTAAATCCGCACCTTCCTGGTTGGAAGGCAACAGGCACAGCCTGACAGTAAGAGTTCAAGAAGGAGTGATGGCATGCGTCCCGTAGAAATACGAACTTAAGTGCCAAAAGGCGTCACTAAAGCATGGAAGCTGCTGACTCTGGAGAGGGGCGATGAGGACAGTGACCGCGGGGAGCGATGTGATGCCTGCTGACGTGTTTGCAGAACTTGGGTAAAGCAAAACCCGAAGTTAGAAAATGATGACTACGCCGCCAAGGCTCATCAGGAATCATGACGTGCTTACGTGGCTTTTCCTTCCTGCTCTGGGTCGACGCAGGCCCCTTATAATGCTGCCCAGCTGATGGCGGGAGTGGAAGTTATTTCTGGTGCAAAAGCCCACGAGAGTGGACAGAGAGGAGCAGACAAGAGCCACGTGCCGCTCACTTCTCGGTCTGGGAGACACACAGTCAGCTGAGGGGATGCAAACCTGCCCAGAAGCTCGGTCAGCTCCTCCTCCGTGAGGGGACAGCCGCCCTCCCGCAGCGCCTTCTGCAGCTGGCACATGGACACGGAGCTGCCCCTGGAGTCGCCGAGCGCGGCCAGAGCTTTCCTGACGTCTTCGTAACGGTCCCTCAGCTTGTCCCTGAAAGGGAGCACGTGTCAGGCCACACTAACACCAGGAAGACCGACCGTCTCTTGAAAGCAAGAGTTTCCTGATCGTTCTAACGTGACGACTGGATGGTTCCTCTAAGGACAGACGTCAGAGATGTTTTGTGGCCTTGGTGTGACATTCACGTTGAAAGGGTCTGAAAGAGACTGTAATTCTGCATTATTATCATTTTATTACTGTTATCCTTGGCAAACTGCATTAAAGGAATTACAAGCTTGTCTTCCTACTAGAACTGGCACTTTAAGAACGGGGCTAAGAACGAGAAAACAGTGGTATCACAGAGGTGACATTCTCCCCGTGAAGGCTTGCTGCCTGTCACGTGCAAGGAACTGCTCTGGGCATCGGGACCCCCAGTGACTCCTCCGGGCCCTGTGGGGTTCCACTCCAGCAGGCAGAACCGGCCGCTCACAGGTCTCAGAGCCTGGACGGGGGACTGGGCGAGCAGAGAGCGGGTCCAGACTGGGAATGGCCACCATGCGAGGTGTGGGTCAGCATAACACAAGCAAGACCGAGAGGTGAAGGAGTCAGTGGGCAGCCACTGCAGGACAGTTGTCCTGGGGGCCCAGGGACAGCCAGTGCCAAGGCTCTGAGGCAGCAGTGCTGGCATGGGACACAGGGAGGGTGGAGGGGCACAGCCAGTGTCAGCTGGGGAAAGGGGCCCAGGGACGCCCCATTTTTATCAGGTCCTTTGCTGTTAAGAAACACAGGACCACTTCTGCCCCTCGCCTGGCCGGCTGGAGCCTCTCCGTCAGCTTCTCCCATTTATTCTTCTCAGCAGCCCTGTGAGGGAGGTGGGTCTCGGTCGTCCCGTGCACTGACAGGGACCAGACAGTGCGGCCCGTGGCAGGGGCGGGGCTGCCAGGCCTTGGCCTCGCAGGGATGCAGACGGCATCCTGCTGAGCTCCTGCCCGAAGGGCTGCTTCCCTTGCAGAGACTGTTCAAGTCACCATGATTCCGTTTTTCAGAAAAATTCTTCCCTGACCAAAAAAATTACTAAGGGACTGAAAAAGCGTGGGCATCTTTTAGAAGGCACAATCTTGCATTTGACGTGTGGTGGGCTGGTCAGGATTCCACGGCCTCGGCTGCCCGGTCTCCAAACAAGCTCGTCTGGCCATGCGGAGCCGTGCACATGCTCCGCAGGTGCGGGCTGCGGGGCTTTCACTCAGAGAGGAGCGTGCTGGACGCCGTGAGCCTGACATCTTAGCTGGGGACTCTCTGTCACCTCAGATGTGTGTTTGTGGGGAGGACAGTGTCTTGAGTCTGCCTGGAAAGATCATTCGCAGGAACAGAAAAATCAGGTATCTGAACAGGGGCAGTGGGGTGGGACCACCCGGAAAGGGACGCTGCGTGGGCCACCTGTCCCCTCCCCTCTGGCCTCCAGGGTGGAGCTGGCCGACGTCTGATACGAGGAGAGGCACAAACGGCTCCTCGCTGTATACCAACAGCAGCGACACTTGGATCCCCAACAGGTGTACGCTGAATTCAGTCCTGGGTGACAAAATGATCACTCATCACCACGACAATCACACCCCACGCAGTCCTTTGAAATGAGAGTGAGTGCAGGTGTGGAAACATCGAGCCAGTTTTTGAGATACACACAGTTAGAAAATGGAGGCATCAGCGCATTGTGGCCCGGTTTCTAGGCCGCCGTTACTTCCCCTGTGCAGTGAGTGTGCGCACAGAGTGAACTCGTGGCCAGAGTGCAGGACAGGCCGGGTGGCCAGCCAGACCCGTGGGAGCCGATGCGCAGGGACCCGCTGCTGCTGCTGCTGCTCTGGGTCCCCGTCTGACTCCTGGTCTGGACAGTGACATGCGAGCCCGGACAGGCCACTGTCACGGCTCCACCGCATGCACGCCTGCACCCCCCCCCACCCCGGCACCTCAGGACCGCCCTGCTCATGCGCCGCTTCCCCACGAGGCCGTGATTCTGGTCTTCGAGTCGGACATCGGCAAGAAAGGAGCAAGAGGTGGGAAATAAGTACAAGTGTCGGAGAGGACTCTGCTTAACTTTAAAAAGTGTGTTCAGGGCACACCCGGGAGAACTTATTCTGCAGGTTTGAGAGGCAGATGCGCTGTTAGGTCCCCTGGACGTGACGCTCTCTGTCTCATCCGTGTTTCAGTGGAAATGAGGAAGGAAAAGTCCTGGAAACCTGAACCTTAAGGGTCATCTGGAAGACAATTCCCGCCCCCCCACACGTCAGGACGGAAGGGGTCACGCCTTTTCGTGCAATCGGGCCTGCCCTTAGTGGACAGGACGGTCCGGCAAAGAGGCGGGGGTGAGTGTGAACTAGGTAGCTGAGCCGGTGGTCAGCTGCGCGGTGAGCGGGAACCCGGGCAAAAGCGTGACGCAGGTGCCGAGGGGGCGCTTCCTCTGGGGGCCTCATCACTCCCACATGGCAGGAGGGAAGGGAAGGGAAGACGCGAGTGGGTAATGAGGCCGGCCCTGTCGGATAGAGATGAAGTCCCCTTCTTCACCACTTGGATGGCACCTTTGATTTATAGCAATCTTACGCGTGCATGTAGTTTTCCTTTAAATTTCAGACTCAGCTCTCTCAGTAACTTGGTGACACCCATGGCATTCCTGGTGTGCTCAGCCCACTTTCCTCTTAACCCCCGTGTGGCCGTTACACTTTGTTTCTTCGTCCGAGGCTTTGTCCTCCCACTGGAAATTCTCCGGCAGCATGCCATTTGGCCGTTCAGGGCTCTTTGTGGTGGTGGGGACAGAGGGCTGACGTGACATAGAGGCAGGCAATGAGGCACCGTGGGACAGGGCAGAGCCCAGGCCCGGGCAGCGCTGAAGGGCGACCTCAGCCACAGACTGAGGCTGCTCAGTGAAGTCTGTACCACGGCACGATGGTCACGTCAAATGGGGCAGAATCCCCCCCGTCACACATTCTTAGGCTATGACACTGGTGACTAGTTTTAAACTCAGGAAGCAATCCTCAGTCTCGGCTTCCAGGTTCAACCTGGTGCGCCCTCTGCACAGCAGCTTCTGCTCTATCATGGCACGCGTGCTGTTCCACGTGCTGTTCCACGTGCCGCTTCCCATCGGCCTCGTGCCACAAACGTCTTCTGTGGTCTCCGTGGGGGTGCTTGTCACAGGCATAGCCTGTTTCGTGTCCCCTGGGGCTGCACTTTACAGGCCAGTGTGCTTCTGGGCCCTTTAGGTGGTCCCAGCTCCTGGACGGCCAGCCCACTGCTAACCTGCAGCCTCTTCTGCAGTATTGCTTTGGTCTCAAGTCCTCGAGATGGAAGTTAAGGAATGTGTCTGTTCGTTCATTCCTCCATCCAACAAGTGTCCACTGGGTGCCTGTGAGGTGTCAGGCACTGGGTAGAGACAGGTACTCCTTTACAGAACTGCAGCCCAGGGGTGCGGGTGGGCCACACGCAGCAAATACCTAGACAGAGGAAGCCCCATGGGCGACCCATAAGATATGGGTAGTGTGACCGGGCCAGGCAGGCAGGCTTACAGCCGTTGGCTCCTTTAGAACTCTGCGACTTTGCACCCATTTCTGGAATCTGCAGCAGTGAACGGATATCACAGTTTCATAACCTCGCACCTGAAAATGACGTCTGCACCGAGGGTGGGGGTGCAACCCGGGCCCGCTCCTGGTCCCAGGATGCTCGCTGACTCACCGGGCTGATGCTGCCTTCCCGGTGCTCTGTGGCAGCTGCACGACCTCGGCCCGCCCCTGCTGCGGCTTGGTGAAGTGACCCATGAAGTTGAAGTAGTCCTCCGCATAGGGCCGGTGGACATCTGCTGAGTAGTCAATCCCCAACTTCTGCAAGAACTCCCGGTGAGTTAGCTGCCCTTTCCCCTCGGTGTCGTAGCTGGAAGACAAGCAAATGGAACCATCCTCAGTAGCTGCTGCAGTTGGGGCTCCAGGCCTACCCGTGTCTGCAAAGCGGCTCCCTAGTTCCCCAGCACCCAGCCTGCTCTGTGGACCAGCAGGGCCTGCTCACCCAGGGGCCAGACATGCAGAACCTCGGCCCTGGGCCAGACCCAAGCTGAGTCTGCGTTCACCAAGGTCCCCGGGCAACTTGCAGACACAATGAAGTTCAAAACCCACTGCTCAAATCCACAGAGGGCACAGCTCCTGCCAGGGGGCCCTGGCCCACCCCAAGGGACAGCAGCTGAACATGCTCACCTGTCATTCTGATGTGACCACAGAAAATTAAAATCGACCCTTTCATTCATCCCACAGTCTTTATTGAGCACCTACATGCAGCGGAACGATGCTATGGCTTAGGAGAAAGCCCTTCACAAACACGTTCAGTCTTAAAACCGGAAAGTGAAAGCCACCTGATTCGAATGCCCCATTTTCTCTGACAAGATGCTGATGAAACCCGACCGGTGGGAGAGGAAAACAAGGCAGGAATTCTGCCGCGTACCTTTCATGTCATTTTCTGGTAGCAAAGTTTTCTGAATTATAATTCATTTAAAAAGGTGTAATGGAGGATTTTTACCTCCCAACATTATTCAAATAGAGGAAAATTACTTCAATAAAAAATTTTAAGGCAATTTGCTAATTTTCTCTAAAGAAAAAAGCATTTATTTCAACAGCAAGACCTTGGCCCTCATCCAGTGGGTGATAGTGGCATTTGTGGGGGAGACTCTTCCCAGATGAACCCAGAGTCTCGAGGACCAAGACTGTATTTGGCAATGTCACAGGCAGGGCTCTCTGGCAGGCTGCTGGGGGGACGGCGGCTGACTGCGTGGTGTGTGGCCACTGTCCCTCACGGTGCACAGCCTCCCCTTGCCGCTAACTGACCAGAGGCCAACGGACCCGCAGACCCGGGGCTCTGGGACGCACGGAGCCCTCTGCCTCAGTCTTACTTGAATAACAACAAAGAAAATGCATTCATTTGCTCAGCTGGCTTTCTTGTCCTTAACGGGTGGAGGATGGGTAGGGGGTGGAGGGGTAAGAAGCCCAGACAAATGTTTCCCGTACTTGTGCTAGAATCTGCAGAGCGTCCCAGGAGTCAGACACATCTGCTCTTCCCGATGGCCAAGTAGGCTTCCCATTGGGGGGCCTGTGAGCCCCACTTCCTGCTGCCATGGGGCTCCCACCACCTGATTCGTGTGCGGGCTGGTCTCACCTCGGAGTCCATCTGAGAAGGGAAAGGGACTCCCCTCTGGCGACAGAGGCAGCCAACGAAAACCTGGAGTCACACCCGTGCTCATCGGTTTCGAGACAGGGCCATACCCTTGACCCTCCAGGACTCAGTTTCCTCATCTGTGACCACGGGGTCCCATGTCTCAGCTAGGCCCTGACTTACTTACGGGCCCCCGACGACCTTTCCAGGTGACTGGTATTAGTACAGCTTTGGAGCTGCCTCTCTACCTCTGTTCAGTGGCCTTTGTCTCTGACACAGATTGAAGTGACACGCCCACCCGGGGAGGCTGTGGCCTCTGGGAGCCCTGGGCCTTGCCTGCTGGCCAGGGCAGAGACCCGACGTTCCCAGCAGCAGCGGCAGCAGCAGAGGCCGGCGCCGCTAACGAATGGCTCCTGAGGAGGGACCGCTGTCCCGGCCAGCTATGCTACCAAGACTGCCAGCCACACACTCCCACTCAGGCACTTGAACTGAATGCAAAGGCACTTCTCAATAAAGGTTGCAAACATCGTGGTCACCAACAAAGACCGTGAGCCTCCCGCTCTCGTCACAAGGGAAGGAGGACGAGGGAAGGTGGACTGCATGCCCATGGCTGAAACATCACTCCGAACGTAACGGGGGCTGACTCAGCCCGCACACCCTCGCCCTTCACCATACACTCCTTTGCATAATGTTTTTAAAAATCAACTTGCCTACAGAGGGTGAATGTCCATGCCAGAAGCAACGTGCACGAAACCCGGGACGCACAGACACTTGCATCTGCAAGTGGCGGTGGCCACTGCCCACTCAGATTCCCGTCGCCAAATGCCGGGGGAGCCAGGTCCCGGAACCAGGGTCTCGGGGTGCGCTCGGCCCGACTCTCCTCTCTCTCCCTGCGAGTCTGCTGCCTGCCCCAGGGGCCACCCGGCCCTCCTTCCCAGTAGCCGCTCCTGGGCGCCGTTCGGCATCACTCCACCCAGCCCAGTGCTCCTGCCTTCGCCCTCCCTGTTCTGCTGCCCTGCGCCCTCCTCTGGCGTTCGTCCTGGTGGATGCTGCGCCCCAGGGCTTGGGTGGGCACTGCCCCCTGAGCACCAGCACTACCCGTCATCTCTGCATCGTCCGAAAGGCCCACCTTGGGGAGGCCCAGACGTTCACCCGCTGGACCCCCGTCCTCTGCCCACTCGGACAGACCTGCCTTCCAAATCTACTGAGACAGGAAACGAACGGGGAGCCTACACTGGCCCTGGGTTGGAGCTGGTCAAAAAACGAAACAAACAAACAAGGAATCAGTAAGAATTTCAAGTTGCTTTTCTAAACTAGATGCAACACAGCCCACCCAACTCTGAACTTGGCCTACCCTGCAGCCTTGCACTTTGAAAAGATACAAAACTGAAAAATTACAGGAGCACACACAGATCATGTACCAGAGAAATCTAAATTTGAAATCTATATAACCTTATCAACCAATGTTACGCTAATAGATTTATAAAGAAATAGAATACAGGTTAAAATTTTAACAACTGAAAAACCAGGAGCTGCTTCGAGAGCTCACCCGCAGAGGATGTGCCTGTTCACGAAGCCACCGACCCCTAACGGAGCAGGAGGGGATTCAGGGAGGGACCTGGGACTCGCAGACAAACATCCACTGCGGACACTGCAAAGGGCCCGGCTCCCAACAGCCACGTCCAAAGTGGGTTTTCAAAACGTAACCAGGGCCAGATACTGCTTTCAGTTCAAGCGACCCTCGGGAGAGTACTCCGTCCAAGTGGTCAGATGTTCGCTTATTTTCTTCCAACGCATCACGTCTCTGTGAAGCCGCTGGCTGGCACCGTCTCTGAGCGGTGGGGAGAGGCCGCTTTCCCACGGGGCTGTGAGAGAGCGACGTCCCCAGAGAGGGGCTTTGCTCTCTGGAACAGGCACGGTCCAGGCCTGGACGCCCACTCCTCGGTGGCTCCCCCTCCGTGGCCTAACTAGTGGCAGGGCCCTGCTCCCCTGCTTCTCCTCGTCCCTGACCGGCCTGCTCCCCGGGGCTGCTGTCCGTGGGGAGCAGGAACAAGGGCCCAGGCGCAGGAGAGACGGCCCCACCCGATCCCCAGGTGGTGACCAAAGGCTGCTGCCGAGTCTGGAGCAGGTCGCCCAAGACCGTGGGGCAGGGAGAGAGCCAGGCTTCAGGTGCCGCTTACCGCATCCAGAGCTTTTCGAATTCTCGAGGTGTGAGGGGAATGTCAAAGCCGAACAGCACGTTCTTTACGTCCCGCCGACGGAGAATGCCGGTGCCCTCACTGTCTGTTTCCATGAAATTCTGCAACAGTAGGAGGTGGCTTTTAGTGACCTGCAGAACCGGTTCACAGCAGTACAGAGGGCTTTCCCTCCTCACTGGCTGAGACGGTCTAACCCACGGCCCCCGCCCCGTCCACCTGCTTAACTACCTCTCATCTGAGTTCCGGGGGCCTCATCACTGCCCTACCCAAGGTGACAGAGCAAATACAGACAGGTATTCTGTCCCGGGGGGGCGGGGCTTGTTTCTGGGTAACGTGTGGCCTCAGGTGTGTGGCCTGCGTACTTCTCCTGACCGACAACGTGCGATCAAAACTCCGAGAAATAAAGCCCCCCTCCCCCGCCCCAAACCTGGAGGTCACCACCTCGGTGCTGACCAGGATGCAACCCTTTGGCTGTGAGAGAGGGAACGAGGGACCCAAGACTCCGGCTGTGGTGACAAGATGATGTGGGGCCACTCTGGCATCCCTGAGGGGGACAGTGGTATCTGGAGGTCTGGCAGGTGTTTACGAGGACCACAAATGAGGGGGCAGGTAACACACTAAGGATGCTCAGCGCCACCTTAAACTTCCTCACGACAGCACCGCGTGGTAGGGGCACCAGGGTGCCAAGTCCTCCCTCCAAGACCAGGACAAGGTGCACGCACCCCACCGCCCTCCACGAGTCACTGAGTGGGAGCTCAGAGCAGGGAGGCGGGAAGGAGGCATGAAAAGCACAGCGTGGGGACGGGAAAAATGCCACTGTCACATTCACAGGTGAGTCAACTGCCTGTACAGCAGTACAGACCTCCACACTAAAGCATTGTAGTGAGAGAACTCGGCAAGAAATCTGGATTCTACGTCCATAGGCAAAATCTTCCACATTTTACGTATCAGACACAGAAAATGAATTAAAAAAAATTTACAAATAGCATCAAAAACAGAAAATCCTAGGGATAAATCTTACAAATGCCAGCAAGACTGGCACGCAGAGGGGAAATCTGGAACGTCACGGGAAGGAGGGACGGAACACGTGGAGGTGAGTGCGCTCGCGAGCTGGTGGGCTCCGGGCGGCAGAGATGCCGCCTCTCCGCAGACGGCCGAGAGGCCTTTGTTCGTGGTGGAACCGGAGGGACTGACTCAAAGACTCCCGGAGCCAGGAGGAGGGACCTGCCTGCCAGCTGATGAAGGTGTGTCACTAAGTGACGGCGATGCTGCAGATTCAGTGCTGGTGCCAGGACAGACAGACGGACCAACAGACTGGCACCGCACCACGGCCTCGGTGTAGCTGCCGCCCTGTGCAGCGCGGGAGAATCCACCAGAGCCCTGCCACGGCACACACGTGGACGCCGGGCCGGTTTCAGGCCTGGAAGGTGGAGGTGAGGTGCTAAGCTCCTAGTCGGGAACGCGGAGTATCTTCCTGACTTCATCAGCGAGACCTTCTGGGAAGCACTGACAGATTTGACTGCGTTGAAAAGAACTCCTACTTCAACAGGTATCATGTAAAAACGGGCGCAGACAGAGCGAAACGCGGATGTGCGCGTCCCCCATTCGCGTCACCTGTCTCTTACGACAGACGAGTGGCCCGACCCAGCCAGAGCTCCTACTGGCCAGTGAGAGGAAGGCAGGCGGCCCGAGTGGAAACTGAAGCAGAAGCAGGACGTCACAGGCAGGAAGCCTGACTGGCGGAAGAAAGATGCAAAGATGCCCGGTCTGCTTAGTGCCCCACGAAGGCTGGTGGAAGCTGCCGTGGGACGATGCCGCACACCCAGCAGACGGGACAAAGGTGAGAAAGGTGGACAGCGGCGGGGCCACCTGTAACCGGAGCTCCGTGGCCATGAAGCCAAAACCAGGAATGGCCCGGCCTCTCCCAGGCGAGGCGGCCGACCTAGTCCGAGACGCCGGCTCCGCCCCACTCCTTCATCTGGACGGTGGTTACGCAGTGGGACGCGACTCGCAATGCACTTGAACTTATTTAAAAACGTACGCACGCCATTTTTACATGCATCACAGCACATGGATGTGCACATACTCTATGCATGCACAATAACATACATATGCTATTACTGTGTTCCACTGCAGAGTCACAATTTGAAAAACAAGCTTCAAAACATTAGGTCAGGAAGATTTCAAGGTCCCTTTAAAAACTTACGGCACCTTAAATGGGCTTAGTACTACTCTGTGGTAGTTAAAGGTGGTTCAGACGGTCATGTTTACGCCACGTGCACTTTACCGCAATTTGACAGAACACACCTGCAGCTCGTCAGGCCTGCTGTGACCCGTGCCCGGCCCACCCGCCCAGCCTTGCCCACCCAGCCTTGCCCTGGAAACCACCCCGCCAAGTCCCTGGACTCGTCCGTGCTGAACTCCCTGCAGCCCGCCCAGTGGGCGGCCCCCACCGCCCCTGCCCAGCACCGGCCATCTTTTAAGCAGCCCCTTCCTCCTCGGTACCCGCCTCACACAGAAGCCACTGCCTCCGGCTCGTGCTCTTACTGGAGCCCCCACACCCCCTCACCCCCACGCTCCTACACACGTTTGGGGTTCTGAGAACAGGGACAAAGAGGGCTGTGGAGGCCGTGCGGGCGGAGGACATCTCCGAGGAGCGGAGGTCCACACAGAGGGAGAGGAAATCAGCGCATCCCGAGAGAGGACGGCCCAGCGAGGCAGGGAAGAAGGGGCCACAGTGTCGTGGGCCAGGGAGGAAGCCGTTCAAGAGGCAGGAGCACAGACCTCCACCTGCCTGCAGCCCTCCCTCTGGGCGCCCTCCGGCAGCCTGCTCAGCTTCTCCGCAGCGCCCCCAGCTTTGTCAGTAACCTGCCTTTGCCCAGGTCCTGTCACCTTCCCGGGCCTGTGAGCTCCGCGGGGCCGAGCAGGCCCTACTGAAGACAGGGGACCAGGGAGAGGCCGCCCAGGAGCCCAGAAGGACTGAAAAGCCCAAGCCCCTCCATTGGGCACAGGCCAAGAAAGAGCAAACCACACGAAACAAGGTGAAGACACCCTTCGAAGTAATGGGCGGTGACTTCTGTAATGGCAGCTTTAAAAACACTTTTTAAAGTGAAGATGATGGGCTGCACGGTGACCCGGTGACCCCAGAGCCTGGCCCGCGGCCCTCGGACGCTGCGGGGTGGCCGCGCCCGGACCCGGGCCACGTGGGCCACTCGGGCCACTCGGTGCGCTCTCCTTCCAGACGCGCTTCCCAGGGCCTCGGCAGCACGGGCAGAGTGGTTTTCTGAAGAGTGTTCGTAACTGTGGGAAAGGAAGTACGGCAGCAGCTCCCACTTTCCATTCACGTTTCTAATTCACACCAAACCTGAGAGAAAGCCAGGAATCTCCGTCGCGTAACTCCTATAACGTCCTGCTTTCCAAACACTGACCAACCTCGAAGGTGAGGACTTGCTTTGATACAGCACTTTAAGACCACGGGGGTCACAGCCGGGCCTGCAGCGCAGTTTCCCATCTCAGCGACTGGCCCCTGGGAGCCCAGAGCGCGGACAGAGCCCCTCCCCCTTAGGGAGACAAGCACTCCTCACCTTAGACAAGTCCGACCATCTGGTCTTTGCTTTGGTAACGAGGTACTGATGAGCCTGTTCGCAAGCTAGTTCGGAATCTGTGACCTTCTGTTTTGCTCTTAAAAGAAAAATAAACAAACAAATACATAAGGAGATGTTTAAATCTGATGGACTTAGTGCTCCCCGCAGGGTTCCCCTGGCCCTGCTGTTTCAAAGGTCCAGTTAACGTCTGTAATTTCACGTCTGCTCTGACTTAACTTTTAAAATACAGCTTCTCTCCCCTGCTGCGTTGGGGAGTCCAGTTTGTGTAAGTCCTGTGTATTCTCAGTTAAATGCCATTGAACTTTTCTTGCCACTCACGTAACAGGCAGGGCTCGCTGGGTCTCACAGGGGAAGATGCGATGTAACGGGGAGAGTCTTTGGAAGAAAACCACTAAAACCATTTATTTCTGGAATGACGAACTGGAGTGACAATGGGGAGGGAGGCCCGTGGTCCTGGAGCGACGGGAAGTGCCTCACGGAGTCCTCAGCGTCCACTAGGGTTCAAGGTTTCCAGGAGGCCAAGATGGTCCGTTCCGTTTACTTACTCCTGGGATGAGGGGCCTGTGCTGGTGGCCTGGCCCTGCCCCGGGGTGGTGTGGGGGAGGCTGTGGCTGAAGGCCTGGCGGTGCCCCATGTGCGGGAGCCTGCCGACCCCCCACCATTTCTCTCTCTACAGCTGCCTGGCTCCTGAGGCATCAGTCCCTCCGGTTTTGGGACTGGAGCTGCTCCACACCCAGGCCTGCACCTGTGGATGCCAAGCACTCAGGACGGTCTGCTGGCAAGACCGACTACAGGTACACGTCACCTGGATCCCACACGCTTGCTCACAGGCGCCTTGCTGAAGGTGACCGGGATGGGCACCCGACCGAGGCCCCACAGACCCTCCAGTGAATCTCTCCACAAGACATGCAGGAAGACCTGGGTGGGGACAGCGAACAGGCCCCAGTCGCCCAGCTGAGGAAACACAGGGAGGTGTGTCCCCACACCCTGGAGGACAAGGTGTGGGGAATGCTCAGAGCAGCGCGACTGTGACAACCCCCTGCACATGACACAGGAGCTGGGACCTTGACCTCCGTGTCCTGGTGAGCACAGATTCTTGCATCTTCTCAGTTCGCAGGGTGCAAAGGACCAGCTGGGAGGAGGCGGGGTCTTCTCCCGACCCTGTGTTCCTGCTGAGACGGGCCCGGCGAGGGCCTGCCTGGCTTCCCTTCCCCTCCTGGCAGACGTCGGCGCGCGGGCGCCTAGGAAAACCACGCTGGACGCCGCTCTTCCCTGACTGGACCCTGTCTCCTGGCCACCAGCCGCTTCCATGCTGCCGAGTCCAGGGATGTCGCGGACTGTTCTGTGACATGGGGTACCCGAACTGCCTCTCTCCACCCCACTGTCTCACAACGCTGCTCCTTAAATGCCACCACGGGCTGGAACCCCAACCCAGGGCCCGGCCTCAGCATCCTTCCCCCTCTGCTGGCTCCCCTAACTCTTGGCCTTCTCTCTCCTTCCACCCGAAGTTCATTTACTCATTCGAGAGGCCACCCCTTCTCCTGGTGTCCCTGCCCCTGGGCGCTGCCCACCCAGACGTCCGGCCACAAGGCCGGTGCCCTCACCTCTTCTTCCATTCCATCTCTCCCAACTGCCTACCGGCTGCACGGAACCATGGAATCCCCGGGGGAAGAGCCCAAGGTCAGCCAGTCTAACCCTCTTCACTACCTCACACTCAGGTTTGGGGGGCGCGGCAGGACCCCGGTGCCTTCTCACAACAATGGCCTGGAAGGACTGCAGGGCCTGGGGGCGCACGTCCCCTGCCTCAGCCTTTAGGCGCCTGTTAAGTCCTGCCCGCACCCGAGGACTCACCTGGGCCTCCCCGGCGTGCTCTCCCCGAGACCCCGGGCGGTGCTCTACCTCCGCAAAGTCGGCGCATGCAAACTGGCCTCCCGACTACACGCGTGTCCACTCGGACCGCACCTACCCCGTCTGTGTTCCAGGCCCCAGGTGGGTTATCTTCCTAGTGGTTTCCCCATCCATGTCTCCCATTTTACACACTTGGCCCCTCTGGAGAGTTCGGAGGTCCTTCTCCAGCTCTTCCCGAAGTTGCTTATTCCCCCTCCTAGTACCCAGCCCTGCAGGTCCTGCCGGCCAGCCTCTGTCACAGACACAAGCAAACCGTGTTATGTGCTGCCCTGGGGCCTTCGGGCATCACGACAGGCGAGGTGGACGTGGACAGAGCCCCCATGAAAAAGTGGGTGAGTCAGGTAACATCAGATCCTGAACATGACAGAGACTGACGGGCGGGAGGGGACACCCCGCTAAGAAGGCCAGGCGGTGGCTCCCGCATGTGTGAAGCGGAGCCGCTGCGTGCGCCGGGGAGCAGTGGCCCCGGCAGGGCGAGAGGCCTGGAGGTGCTCCGGGTCCCAGTTCAGAAGGAGTGGACAAGCTTCGTCCTCTCTTGCCCCCCATGGCGACTAAATTGTAGAAGGACATGGAAACTGGCTCCCTGAGGACACTAAGATAAATCCTGGGGGGCTGATGCATAGGGAAGCCCAGGCCTGAAGAGTGACCGATGCAGGGAGGGGAGTTCCTCGGGCTCACGTCCTCCCACATTCCCAGCCGAGGGTCAGGGGACGTGCTAATCTGGGCCTGTGCCGTGGACGGGGACGGGGGCGCCCTGAGGGAAAACCTGTGTGTCTGACCAGAGCCCTGGGCAGGAGGCCCTGCAGGACACAAAACGTGGGGTCGTCTCTTGTTGCCTCTCCTTGTTCTGCTGCCTGCACCAGGGCAAGGCCAGTCAGAAAACCTGTTCCAAGATGGTGACGGGGCAGCCAGCCCGGCACCCCCAACTGAAAACCTGCTCCCCCCCAGAGGGGACGGGAAGAGCTGTGCTCAGGGAGTGCGGGAGGAGCCAAGTTCTCTTTTTCTTCCATTTTTCTCTCCACGCTGCCCTGGAGGGGAACCTGTCGTGGGAAGCACACAATAACAGACGGGCTGAAACCTAAGATTTTCAGAAAGATCAAAAAGGCGGGAGGGGCTCCTGGGGGCTGAAGAGTGTGGGGAGAAAGTAAAGAGAGGGGTGAGCTGGGAAAAAGCGATGCCCACATCTGTGTGGGGAGTCCAGGTTCTCATCCAATGTGCACTCGTGTGGAGTGACCCAGAGCAGCCGAGCAGAGCGAAAGGCGTGTCTGCCGTGCAGCTAAGGCTGGCTGCAGGGGGTTGGAGCTCGCCTGTCCTCCAGCCCACCGTGCACCCCTTGGAGGGAGCGTTGTTGCCGCCCGTGCCCACTGAGCCCCGGCGCAGCGGCCAGCACCCACTGGCCCCCGTAACTGTCTGACGGAGAAGCGAGGAGACACAGGTGGGAAGGCCGCGCCATCTGAATGAGAAGACTGCGCTTTGTGCTCAGAACGTCCGCGCTCGTCCTGCATGCATCCTCCAGGGGACTCCTTCTGAAGGACACCTTTTGTGCCGTTTTGACATTGAGCAATCAAGTCTCACACGAGAGCTTCTCAGAACTGAGCAATTAGAAGCAGGTGTCGGCTCCGTGCCACGTGATCTGCTCCCTTGGAAAGAGCCTGGAGTGGTTTTCCTTCCTGCTTGCTCTGCGTAGGTAGAGACCACACAAGCCCAACAAATTCGGGCGGGAAACTTCAGGTGTCAGACCAGGGGGCTTTCTGTAGCCTAGCCAGCTATCACACAGCCCTGGGCGGGGGGCGCTGCCCTTGCCTGGGAAGAGTCTGCAGCCCCCGGCCTGCCAGTGCCTCAAGGGCAGACCACCACCAGACGCCACCACTACAGCAGAAAACACACTTCTGTGTCATCACGGGGGCGGAACGCTTCAAAAATACTGTTCTTCTTATAGTAACTGGTCAAGAAGGGGCTGCGGGGCAGCTCCATTCAAACCGGCCGGCGTTAGCAGACCTCAGCGGTGCCGGCCGTGCCGGCCTTGTCCCTGGGTCCGATGGGAGGCTCCTCACTGCTTCGAGGACTGAGGCTCCCCCGAGAGAGCGTGGGGTCGAGGGCCCTCCAGGTTCTCCGCCTCCTCGTGTCTGCGAGGCCGGCCTGGGGGGATAGGGCCTGGTGTCTCCCCGAGCAGGGGCAGGCCGACCCCAGGTTTATGAAAAGAAGAACGTGTGTGTGTGTGAACATTTATGTGCACGGAAAAAAGACGGTGACGAGCACGTGCCCCAAAAGTAGCGCCTGGACACTGGACCAGGGAGCGTCTCTTATCTGCGGCGGTGCTTCCCGGTCTTTCTGCACCAGGTGTGTGTTCCCGGTGCAACGCTCCTGGACTGAGATGATGACAGACCAATTGCTCTGGGAGGCGGCTGTGCTCTGCACCCTCGGGGGCAGTGGGAAGGCTGGCCTTGGTGTGGGCAGAGACGCGAGGGCGGGGAGACACTGACCCAGCCGCCTTCTTACCTAATGAGTCTCTGAGGCGCATCGTCTGTTGTGAGTGGTTCTTTCTCAAACAAATTTCGGAATTCCCGAAAATTTAACGTGACGCTAAGCTTCAGGCCCAGAAGGCCCAGCAGACGCTCAAACTCCTCGTCTTTGAGATTGAACAGCAGGCGCCGCAGCAGCCGGTGCAGGTCCTGCATGCTGACGATGCCGTCCCTGTCGGTGTCCATCCGGAAGAAGGCCGAGTAGGGGTTCTAGAAGCAGAACACTCACGTCAAAGCCCCCCTTGGGCGCTGGCCACCACCCGCGTGTACGCTGCATACTCGGACTCGTCTCCAACGTGGGGGAGGGGCAGAAGGGATGAGCTGTGTTCGCCAGGGCCCTGTGATACAGAGCTCAGGAGAGGGGCCCCAAAGTCCTCTTCCTTCCTGCCCTGCTCTCCGGTTAGGCCGGCACCCCGTGCCAGGAGTGGGGCTGTACTGGGCGGAGGTTTTCAGTGCAGATGCAGACCCTGCTCTCTGTGTTTGCAGGCACCTTGCATCACGTCTGCCACCTGCTCTACAGGAAAACAAGTGCTGCACCAAACTTCACCCTGAGGAGCTGACAGAGGCCAGTGCGGTTTCTGGCGACCTACTAACACTCTGGCCCTGACTGCAACCCGAGTGCCTGCTGCTGCCCACAGACCGCGAGGGGTGTCTGTCTCTGGCGGCCACGCTGCCCGAGGGCTTCGATTCCAATTTCGCAGATGAGGCAACAGAGGCTGCGTGCAATGAAGGAGGCATACTCTGGAGCCAGGAGGCTGAGCCTCACGCCCCAGCTCTGCCGCTCACCTTGGCCGAGACAGGTGTTTCTGGCTCGCCACCCTTGTCAGCTGTAAAGAGGGTTGTGACAGCCTCTAGCTCACCGGCTGGCTGTCAGGTGGACTGTACTAACACATGCGGAATACCTGGCCAGTGCCCGGCAGGTCTGTCCCGCCTCACTGTCCACCTTCATCGCCCTCCGTTACTCCTCAACACAGACCCAGCTGTGGCCGCCCTGCACCTGCCTCTGGGCTCAAACGGCGGCCGTTTCTCCTGTCTCCTCTGTTACAGATGTCCACGTGAAGCCCGTCCGCACCACACTGAGCTGTGAGAAGTTCCCTAAAGACCACGACCTGTTTGCCACCCGCCTTCCGCAAGCTCCCTCTTCTACTCTTTGTTGCCTTCATTTCTGGCCAGCACATGCTGAAGGCTTACGAGTCGGTTCAGTGGTCACCTCCTCCAAGAAGCCCTCCGTAAGGGGTCTTCTCCCTGTGCCCCCACAGCACACTACGGATCCCTCTGTGACAGCCCATCACAACGGCCTGAGCTTTCTGTCCACCACCTGGCTCCTGGACTGCGCTGAGCCCCCTGAGCAGGGCCCGCGCCTCCCACCTGGCATCTAGCAGACCCGGGTGGACGTGTGCAGTGCTGGTTCAGTGAGTGAGTGCAGCAGAGAAACGGAGGAGGGGATCCTAACTTGGCTGCACTGGGGTTGCTCCACCCCAGCCCTGCCCTCTTGTGGGAAGGTCTCCACACTGGGGGGGGTGGAGTCACACCCAAGGTGGCTGAATGGCTGGGGCGCAGGGAGCTAAGCAGCGGACAGGGCCCCACTCACCCGGAAGAACTCCTTCAGTCTCTGGGGGAGGAGTTGCAGGCACTCTTCAGCACTGACAAAATGGCTGGTCACGGTACTTTTTGGAGGAATTGCAGTCTGAGGTGGGTTCACCTGTGGCCCTTCCATACCTGAAACAGACACACAGATCAGAGGACGCCCTCAGTGGCGTGCACACGTCGGCATTCCCACCCTGCACCCGGATGCTCCCTGCCCCAGGCTGGTGGAAACACAGCACACAGAGACCCGCCCTGCGGACGCTGCCAGCACTGGCTCTGCCGCCCGGTCTCCCATCCGTCCCTTGGTATTTCTCAGACGCTTCACTGTCGCTGCAGGAAGATCGGTCATGTAGGCTGCCGGGGCTCCCGTCCAGCACATGCTAACCACCCCAGGCCCCCCACACCCTCTCGTCTTGCCTCCCTGCCCCTCTTCCAGGGCAGAGGCACATCTCCCTCATCCCTGCCTTCCCAGGGGCAGAGAATGAGGTGCCTGCCTGGTTTCCGTTTCCCAGAAACGTGTCCGAAACCAGGAATGTGCGGTGGGTCAACAGTCATTAATTCGCCAGCCCTTCCTGACTTGCTAGGTACCGGGCTTGGTCCTTTCAGCCAAGATTTTCTTCCTGTGATGAGTTTGCCCACAAGGAATCCTTTTACTACACACACCCGACTGGGAGGAGACAAAGGCCCAAGGGTGGCCCCCGCTCCGGGGTGCAGGGCTCGTGGGCAGCATGGCTGAACCCAGACCCCGGCGGACTCCAGAGCCCAGCCAGCTTGTTACCGCATCCTGCCCTCTCTGACCCCTACACTGAGGAAGGCAGTGTGACCTTCCTTGTCCGTGGGGTAAGGTCATGGGGGTGCGGCCCTGTCTACAGCCAGGCCGGAAACCTGGGCCTGGGCCACAGACATGGTTTTCTGCGCACGCTGTACCCACGCCCTCCACATGGACGTGGTCTGCGGGATGGGTGGTGGGCATGGCCTCTGGAGCCCATGGGTGTGCTTTGGTCCAGTCGTGGCTGGGCTCCTACCCTGCTCCACCTGGGCCCACAGCGGCCCTCCTCAGGTTCCTGACGCCTAGCAGGTAACAGCCCCCCAGTGGTGTGACCCCACTTGGCCACGCCCCGATCCACATCTCTGGCCGGAAACTTCAACGCTCCCCACACACACCGCAGCACCTGACCCTGTGGGGAAACAGACAGTACTGGGGGACTGATGGAGGAAGAGGAGGAGGAAGGTGAAGAGGAAAGAGCAGGCTTCAGTGGGGAGGAAGCCAAGAGCAGTCGGCAGCTCCTGAGTCAGGCTCACACTTTGCAATGGGCTTGCTGCTCTGGGGCCCAGGCCAGCGACCTACTCACCCTGGGCCTCAGTTTCCTCTCTGAACAATGAACACACCTGGCACATCAGACACACTCACTGAACTACATGGGAATTCCCTTTCCTTCAAAAACGCCAGAGCACACACCCAATGATAGCGTCAACATTCCAACTCTCTGTGGCTTCTCGAGTTGCCCTTTCTCCCTGTGCAGGACCCTCTTCTTCTGGGGTTGCTCGGGTCCGCGGCATCTCCCTGGTGAGGAGTCCCAGCCACCGTTCCCAGCGGAGACCCCAGGCCACCATTAGACCAGACTCAGAGTGGGTGGCAAGTGCAGATGGGCCCTCGTGCTCTGCCCGGTCCAGGCTGCGGTACGTTTGCAGCGCAGCAGCAGTGTGTTCCACGGACACGTTTGCCTGACTCCCACAGCTTCTCTGGAGGGCGGAGTTGCCCGCCCATACGGCCCCAGCACAGGAGAAGCGGCCTCCGGGGGAGCAGAGAGGGCAGTGGGGACAGGATGCGGCGGGGAGGAGGATGCCGGACCCCACTGTCCAGGCCTGAGGCCAGGAGAGTGGACTGAGGAGCAGGGGCCGCGGGAGGACCCAGCTTCCAGCCCGAGCTGAACTCGACCGGACAATGTCCTGACACCGTCTGGAGAAGGGACCGGGAAGGGGCGGTGACTGGGTGGTCTTGGGCACGTGGCTGACTCTTACTGAACCCGTGTGCTCACTGGCACACAGGGGGGAAGGACACCGGTCCTGCTGGTGCAAGGCGTCACTCACTACAGATGATCCGCCCATAACAGAAGGAGGCAAACCTTTGAGAACGTGAGGTGTGACTTAAGGCTCACGGGGCCTTAGAGGCAACTTTACAAGCCGTCTTGCTCTAAGTTTGTAGAAGGCTCTGCCAGGCAAAATTCTGCATTTACAATTCAGCTCAACTTGGGGGAAAAAGGGCCCAAATGCAGTCAGATCAAATTAAACAAGAACGTCTGTTCTGGCGAAGAACGTGTGTGGTGTCAGCAAGCAGCTGGGTGTGCGCCCCGTCAACCCCGCAGGGCATGGCCGCTCAGCGCTCGGAGGGCTGGGCGGGAGACACGTCCCAGCGGGTTCACCCTGGGCGCCGAGCTACCTTCAACTCTGGTGGTAAAATCCAGATCACTCCTCCCTTCTTTCTTGAATCCCATTCTGGCTGTCGGCTGGGCGTACTGGTCGTCACCCACGGGCATTCCCTGATCTTCCGGCGCCTGACAGGAAAGCGAGAGAGGGAGAGGTGGTCAGGCTGTCCCAGGCCCGCAGTGGGCTTGCCTCTGTGGCCCCTGCGCTCCAGCCTGTGATCGTTGCTCGTCCAGCCCCATGCACAGGCCCGGGTTTGCTTGTTGAGCCTGTGAGTGAACAAGGAACAAATGAGCATGGTCTTCGGGCCGCAGGAAGCCCTGCAGACCTTCCCAGGGGCCCCGCCCTTGGAGGTGCCCAGATGCACATGTGCCGTGACTGTGTTCAAGTCCCACAAGTCGGGTCTGCATTCACACGTATCCTGGGAAACATGAACGAAACAGAGCACGGCAGTTTGAGGAGGAAAAACTAAAAATTTCATTAAAGTCTCACTATGATGGATGGTCCACGCTGTCTGCTAGGCTTCGGGTGCGGCGCCTACTTCTTTCTCCTTGGGCAAGTCCACTCTCCGAATGTTACCCAGGACCCCTTCCCCCACCACGCCAACCTGCTGTTTACAAACGACTCCCATTCGTGTGCGCGGGGGCGGCACCGAGAAAAGACCCTCCCTGTACTGCCAGCAGTGAACCGGGAAGATCTGAATGACCTGTCCTAAGGGGCCAGCCGGACTGTCCAGGCCGCACATGCTGGCGCCACCCCTTTGTCTGTGGCCAGTCAACAACCCGCAGAGCTGCCTGCCCGGAGGCGAGGCCCCTAGAAGTGACGCTGGGGGACACAGGCGAACGGAAGATGCCACCCATGCTGCTCTCAAACTATTTGCAATTTAGATGAGAAAACATGGCTTTCTTATAGAAAAAGGACGCAGAATCACCATTCAAAATATGCCTGTGCCTGTATCCCCACCACATCATCACCAAAACGTCCAGCATGATGACCACTGTCCCCCCAGGGCACAGGAAGGAAAGCTGCCTGGGAGAGCTAAGTCGGGAGGCCTGGGGACACACAGGTCAACAAGCGTCGGGTTTGACCCACCGAGGGAGTCAGCAGAGGACCAGCAGGGCCAGTGTGACACAGACGCATCCGTGGGGAAAGGTAAAAGGAGGAAGGAGACAAGAGGGTGCGATGACACAGCCTACATCATCGTCATCATCATCGTCATCATCATCACCACCATTGTCACCATCACCCCCACCACCACCACCATCATCACCCCCGTTATTATATCTCCAAGCAGCAATGTATGTGGCAGGCCTTGTGTAAGCCTCACTGAATCCTTATAAGAAGCCTTGAGAAAGCCCCTCTTACTAACCCCATTCAGAAGGTGGGGAAGCTGAGGCTTAGAGAGTTTAGGTGACTTGTCCCAGTCACATAATTAGGAAATGACAGAGATGGGGTTCTTCTTGTTAACCCCTACTATGAACTCCACTCGGACAAGGTCACCGGGGCCTGAGTGTGGGCAGGTCTCTGCTGTGGAGCCCTGGCGCCCTCCCACGCACCCAAATCAGCCACACAGGCAAAGACCCCTCTGGGCCCCTGCAGAACACCTCGAGCAGTCCCCAGAACAAACACCAAGGACGGGAGCCTCTAGGGGTTGCTGGGAGACCACCCCCACCAGCCCCCCATTTCTCCCGGAGGCTAGCGAGGACAGGTTCTCCTTGCCTCTGGGCTCTGACAAGGCACAGAGCCTTCGGCCCCGGTCTCCTCACGGGAGCGCTGCAGAGTAGAAGCCCACCTAGCTGCAACGGGTGCCCACCACCTGCAGCGAGGTCATCCGCTCCTTCTGTTTGGGTGCTGTCCTTTCCGGTGTCGGGGGAAAGGGCCCTGGGAGCTGGCACTCTTGGCTGTGTCAGTGACAAACTGAATGGGACAGCGGCTCCTTGCATCTGTGCCACCCAGCTGGTCAGGCCCTGGATTAGCTGGGCTCGTGTGTGTGTGTGTGTGTGTGAGAGAGAGAGAGAGAGAGAGAGAGCGCGCAAGCCGCAGGATGTGCTGGTGCGGGATGGGAAACGGGGAGAGGGCAGAGCGTGCAGGTGTGGCCGTGGTCGCCGTCTGGGGGCCTTTCGGGGAGCAGTGCTGGATTCCAAGGCTGCCCCGAGGGCCCGCCTGGGGCCTCGGGCGGGCTGCGCGTGACTGGGAATTGGGCAGCTCGGCGCCATCTGCACACGCACCGACCCGGCTCTGCGGAGGATCCGGTTCCAGCCCCACACGGAGCAAGAGTCTGACAGAAAGCTGCGGAAGCTGCCGTGGGTCTCTGAAGTGGAGAGATTGGTTGCTTCCCTTGAAAAATAACTTTATATTTTGAAAACAATCGCACATGAATTATTCATTGCAAATTCCTGCTGCTCGGCCCTTTCATAAAAACACATCCAATGGAGAACAAGACAGTGTCTGCAGGCAAATGTCTCGCGGCCTGGAGGGTCGAGAGGCGCGGGGGCGGGGTGTGCGGGGGCGGCCAGCCAGCAGCGGGGGCACCTGCCTCCCCATGCACGGCCCTCCTGCCTGAGGGAACCACGGCAGCCGGTCAGCGGGACTGACCACCGCCCTGGGAGGCGACGTGCAACACAACAAAAAGCGGAACTGCAACACTTGTAAAACAGATTTTAAAGCGTTTAACCATTCAAGTTCATGTCCTCTGGTCTTTCCTAGGAGGCGTTGCCCTAAGAAAGTTGTTCAGAGAGTGACAACCTGTGGCCTCACACATTCCGACTCACCACGTGGTGGCCCTGCGCCCGGGGAGGCCACTTCGGCCGTGGACCAGCCCTCCCTGTCTGGCCTCCGGCTCGCCCCGCGCTGGGCTCCCGGGGAGGACAGGCGCTCCTCTCACCTGGCTTGCTCCTCCTGAGTCCTGCTCCTTCTCACTGACACAAGTCGAAGCTGAGCGGCCAACTCAGTCTGCCAAGCCCAGTGGTGCAGAGCCTCCGGGGCCAGGGCGCCCCATCTCTGTGGGGACACGGGGTCACCAGGCCTCTGCGTCACCTTTCTGGGAGTTGCTCTAAGGATTCCAATATACAGCCTTACCTTTCTCTGTCCGTTTAGACTTAATAGTGAACCGCATCGGCCGACATGCAGGACACTGGCAGCCAGACGGGTCCGCACCGGCCCCTTCCTCTGCGCCGCCGGTTTCCCATGCGCCTCCGGGGCAGACCCCGCAAGGCAGCACTCCACGCTCACCCTCAACACTCTCACGCACCTTTTCTAAATGAAGAAGAACTGCCTTTCACGTGTAGTCAGCTGTTGGCCGTTTCCAACGTTCTTTACTCCTCCATGAACGTCTGAGTCTCTGCACAGTGCCACGTTCTTTCAAACTGAAGGGCTCCCTTTAACGTTTCCCACAGTGAAGGCCTGCTGGTAATGTACTATCTCTGCCCTCTGTTTTTAATCCAGAAACATCTTTATTTCCCGTTACTCCCGGAGAAGACCCAGCCCAGATGTACATTTGAGGGGGAGACGCCTTGTTCCTTTCCACGCATCCGAGCCGTCGCCCGTCTCTGGCCGGCGTGGCCCGACCTGCCGTTCGGAATGAGCGCGTTCGCCCGCTGCGTCAGAGGGTCTCTCTCTGACGCTGGCTGTCAGCGTCTCCCTGTGATTTTCTTTGTGTCTATCATACTAGGGTTTTCTGAGCTTCCTGAATATTCACTTAGCGCTTTTACCAGAAATCGGGGAACTTTGGCCACGGGCCCCTCACGCGTCTTCCTCTCCTTCTGTGACTCCGGTGGGGCCTGTGCCAGGACCCGGGACGCTGTCCCGCCGAGTCACTGCCCGCTTTCTGACCTTTTTCTTCAGTTCGTATAAACCTCTACTGATCTCTCTTCAAGCCCACGATTCTTCCTTTCATCATCTCCACTCTGTGGTTGAGCCCTTCTGGTGAATTTTCTTATTGTGGACATTTTATTTTTCTGTCCTAGAATTTCCATTTGCCTTTTTTTATACATTCTATTTATCTGCCGAGATTTCCTACATGTGCACTCATTATGAGGATATATTCTGAGCACAGGTGTAACGGTTACTCGGGCACATGGGACGCTGCCACGATCTGACCTCCCTCTGGAGCAGCGGAGCTTCCTCTGCACCAGCAACAGGCTGTTTCACTTCCTCATCATCTGTACGTTCATGGGAGCAGCGCCTTTATTTCCTTCGACGAACTGCCCTTTGCTTCCACGATCTGGCCAACGAGAGGTCTGTCTCACTTCTCCACAGGCCTTTCTCACTAGGCTTAATCATTTCTAGCTTTTGGTTTAAAGTGAAAAATGTGTAACTCTTCCTTTCAGTTGGACACCGAAAGGCCATCACCGGGTTACTAACTGGTCTGCTTTTAATACCGCTGGGTCTCAGGAACTGGAGAGACCAGAGGAGAGGAGGCGAGAAGGAGCAGCGAGCCGCGGAGCCGCCAGGACACACGCTGTGTACTCGGTTTGCCCTCTTACAGTGGCACAGCGGTGGTGCCCCAAACGACTGCGACAGTCATGTCAAAGGTCGCTCAGGCACAGACCAGTTTGCCCAAGGTCACACAGTTATTAAGGACAGAGCTGCGGTTCGAACCCTGGTGGCCTGGCTCCAGAGCAACATTTTAAATCACAGTACAAAAGTATGTATTGACAAAGCCAAAGCGGGGAAGGATTGGGGGTGGGGGTGGGGGAAAGTGTTGGTGGGAAAATGGAGACAACTATAAAAAATGCAAAATAAAATAAAATAAAAAGTATGCATTGAGTACTTATGTTGTGCTGGGCACTGTTTTAGATGCTGGGGACAGGGCAGAGAATGAAGAAGACAAAGACAGCCGCCCTTGTCCACCTCGGGGAGGGACACGGCTGCAGGGGAGCAGCCCCCTCGGGAGGGAAGCTGGCCTGAGCTTGTGTGACGGGGAAGCAGCAGAGGGAGCGGCAGCCAGAGAGTGAGGCTCGGTGAGGTATGAGAGGCCTGGGGCCCCCCAGGGCAGAAAGCTGAGGGCGAGAATCCGGGGGCTGGGGGGTGAACCGAGGGTCCTGGGCAGCTCACGAACACGGGACAGGTACCCATGTCTACGGTAAACCATCAGCCCTTGCAAACTGACAAGGGGGCAAAGAACGTAAAT